TGTAGCTCAGCACATGCAAAATCGAGACTGGGGAAGGGTGTGGGTTTGTTCTTCAGTGTTTTTGGTTAATAACCTCCTGGAGTGGGGTCAGAATAAACCCGTAAAGGTTACTATAATGTCAGACGCGTGTTAGACTGGCTTGTGTTTGCAGTTGTGCGGATCGCATTATCATAATCGATGCTTTGACTGTTCTTCTGTCATCCTAGTCGAGATGCAGCTTTGCAGTTTGAGTGGCGCTGAGATCTATAAGCATAGGCTTGGTTGGTGAGCTGCCCTTGAGCGGGAACGTGCTGGTTGGACAGTGCTGGTGTGATTTCTGATTGGCCTGAAGGTGGAGTATTGACCAGGTGAGGGCTGCTGGGAAAAGGGCAGATCGTAGGATCCTGTAGACCTCGCAAGTGCTAATTAGCCTTTTAGAATTTAATCTGCGAGTCATTTTTAAGAAACCTGAGTATCGCAGCCATTCTGCTAGTCATGGCTTGATTTTTCGCCTTGTGGTGCCCTCCGTCAGGACCGTCCACGGCGGTGACAGGTCGGTGAGGATAATGGGAACCTGACAAGGGCAGACACAGTTTCTTATTGGGTGTCCTCCTGTAGCATGACCTCCTTGGGTGGTTGTGATTCAGGTGTTGGGGCTGGGAGTTCTTGCACTTCTGCACATTTAGACTGTTTAGAGAGTGAGAGCATCTGCTGTTATTTCAGCCGTGCTTTTAAGGTTTGACCCAAGGAAGAGTGCGCTACATACTGATGTTTTATTTTAGATTTATTTATTTCACAGATGCTTTTGACCAGAGTGACATAAGTGAGCACATAATACATCAAACAAACAGCTGTCAAGGAATTAACTAAGGGCTGGTGATCTGTGTTATTTTTTTGTTTATCTAGTGGCTGGGCCATTTGATTGCTTGTTGCCCTTTGGGGAAGCCTGGGGCAGTGGCCATCTCCCCACCTTCTGAAGGCTGTGTCACGGTGGTGAAGAGTCCCACTGGTCTGTGTTCCTCGCTGCTTCCCTGTCCTGTCTGCCATTATATCAGGAGTGTCCTGCAGTCACCGGCGGCTTTAGCCGGGAGCTTTAACCTGTCCATCATATCAGAATCGCTGGTTATCTTGTATCCTGACCTCATTGGTGCCGCCTCTTGTCCTTTTAGGCTGAGACGACCCCACCACTCTGCCTGTTCAGAGCCTGGTGTCCTCAGCCACATCAGTCAGTCTTGCACAGAGAGGGAACGCTCTCGTTTGACGCAGTCAGCTGATGGTATCCATTTCAACATCATTATAGGCACAGCTGCTGCCTGACACTGCTCTGACATCACAGCCTGTCATGTGATGAAAGGAATGCCTTTTTGTCAAAATGCCTTTACCACGATGCCCCTTGTGTTCATTTTGTGTATGTGCATGTTTTCGTACCTGTTGCTTCTAAAGAACAGGTAAACACAGTAGCCAGGCAAATTCAGTACCAATAAAAATTTTAATGAGTGAGATTGATGAGACGTTGATTTCAATTTGGAGATTGCAGAGCCAAGCAGTAATTTCCGTAATGGGCGGTTATTACTGTCAGGAATGGCCGCTCAATTGTACCCAAGTTCCCACTGCCCGCTCGGCAAGTATCACGGATCAGAAACCTGGGACGACTGTTCACGCCGCCTTTCCCTGCTCTCAGCAGGCTCTCTGTTTGCAAACACGGGCCTGTAATCCTGTCACCCGGTGACCTGATGGCAGCGAGCCCACCACCGCCCTGCAAGTTCCCCGGGGTGCCATCACGGCGCTGACGTACCACTGCCATAATTAAATCGAGTCCGTCTCAGGTGTCTGTTAATGAGTGTCTAATTACCTTCACGGAGAAAAGACCGGAATCTGTGTCACGCTCAACTAACGTTTAACATACCTGTAAAAGTCGTGTGTGTGTGTGGTAATGTGTATATATTACATTGTGGGGACCAAATGTCCCCATAATGTGATTCAGAAACCTGTTGCTTTGATGTTGTGGGGACTGTTTATTTTGACTTGGTTTTTATAAAAACCTTTGAATCAAAAACGTAAAAATGCCGAAAGTGTTGTATTTTGTTTGGTTACCTATGGTTAAGGTTAGGGCTGTCATTATTGGGATTAGGATTTTCCCCATAAAAATGAATGTACGGTCCTCACAACAATGAATACAAACGTATGTGTGTGTGTGTGTGTGTGTGTGTGTGTGTGTGTGTGATGGTTTTTGTGTAATACTCATCGTGTTATTCTGTCCATACAGGATTTTAATAATGTATCGGCCCTCCATGGACAGACAGGAAATCCAGTTCGAAAGCCAGGGGAAATACCAGTTAAATGTCTTATATTACATTACCGAAAAAGCTGATGGGAGAGGGGGAGGGTTGGCCATGTCTCCCCAGAGGAGCATTACGGTGTTAGTGCTTTAGTCCTGTTATTAATACATAGGTTTTCTTTTCTGCTTTGTCAAATTCATTAGAGGGAATGGCCGTTTTAATGTCTAACTGCATTAACGGCGCAGCTCCGTCTATGAGTGCGGACACGCCAGGCGGCCGGACAGCTTCCCGCGTTTACGTGCTTAATGGCAGCCCCATTTGGCTGTGTGTTATTTTAATTTCCCTCTCCATCACACCCCCCCCCCACCACCACCACACTTATGTGGTTTCCCATTCAGCCGTGGTCTGTCCAAGGGTCAGCAGGGGGCGTCGGCGTGGTAGCCAGCAGGAATACAGCGTTCCATTCAATTCATCCCTCCAGTCTTTACTCAAAGCCCAGATGTTTATTATCCCAGACATTCCAATGTAAAAGCTTTACCCTCCATTGACAGTAATCGGTACCCGTTTTCTGCTACTTTTTTCAGCTGTATTTTGATGTATGTTCCCTTCAAGCTATTTGGTGTGTGGAGTTACCTGCTGTGACCTGCCAACCCCAAATGCTTCCCCCTCTGTTTGTTCCTCTTGTTTCCATCCTGACTGAGCAGTAAGAGTCAGGAAGGTGCATACAGCCCTATCGAGGTCACAGGCAGCCTTTTAGAAGTAAAGACCGAGGAAACGGGGGTCTGTGTTGAACACAGACCTGTGCAGAACCAGTGCCGTTGGTGTGAGCTGGGAGGTCTGCCTGTCAGTCCTTCGGCTCCTTGGACGTCACGTGGGGTTTTCTCTGTGGAGAAGCCTCGCTCTGTTCATGTAAACCGCTTGGATAGAAGAGTAAATTATAGCTAATCAGTAGGACCTATGAGCTTTCTGATTTTTGCATTTGCCATCTTGAGACTGAAACATAAATGGGTGAGAGTGAGGCTTAGGTTCAGGGTAGTTTTCAGGGTTAAGGGCCTTGCTCATTGGCCCAACAGCGATATGATCACCCTACTGGCCATGGGTCTCGAACCGATGACCTTCTGGTTGTAACCCATAGGCTATTTGGTCAGCGTGTAATGTGTATCTGGAGAAAGCAATAATGTCTGTTACTTAACAGATGAGCTTTTCGTCTTGATCTTTTCATCGTCAAGCAGCGAGTCAGTTTTGTGACGGCTGATTTATCGACCGAGTCGATGCATGGCCCGTGGATCAAGGCAGTTTTAAGGCTGTCTGTGCCGCTCCAAGCATTAATTTGATGGGTGTACTTAAAGCAGATTGTCCTGTAAAAGTTCTTATAATCCTCTTCTGTTCTGTAAATGCTTCAGTCAGTTGAGTGTGAACAGACTTGCAGTAGTTTGCTGGGTGGGTGGGGGGGGGGGATGTGCAGGCTGGATCTTCGGGGTTCCAGAACACCTGTCTCTCTTTGAGGTGCTGATGTGAGCTGGCGTAGCGACGGGGCCGATTCTCTGCTGAGCTCTGTGGATAATGCACGTGTGGGCGTGCGTGCGTGTCTCTAATGGGGAGTGGCCCTGAAAGCCTAAGTCCCCCGCTCTTAGTGGAGATCGGGGGCACCCAGGCCCCCCAATGCCGGGGCCAGCTGCTCTAGGCCTGGCGCTGACCCAGGGAGTCCGGGCCCCTGCTGAGCACCCAGGCAGACAGCCTCCACATTGCCACCTGCCGCTGCCCCCCCTTTCCTCTGCTGCGTCCTTCAGGCAGGATTCCCATGCTAATTACCAGCCCTGAATGGATGGATGGATGGCAGCGCTGGACAGGATGACGGGGACATGGTGGATTTCTCGGTGGCTGTGAGAGATGTTAGCGTCGGCTGATCAGCTGCACTCACGTTCACATTCCGGCTCAAAAACACCCTTAATCGCAAATCTCTTCCATTCACTAGATGCTCTTAATACTTAGGTGGTTCTCGATTCCAATTGCTTCTTTTTGTCCATGGTGCCAAAATGATCTCTGAATATCCCATAACAGCAAAAAAAAAAAAAAAAGGTTCCATAGAATGTCATTTGTTCACAGCATGCATCGAGGTTAAGATGTGGCGTATGTGGCTTAATGCACGCGTGGATCTTAGCGTCCGCAGCAGCGGGTTTAAAAGACTGTGTTTCTGCGCCCCTGGCCTCTGAAGCGGGATATCCGCGTGGGGGCGGGGGCGTGGGCGGGGGCCAGGAAAGGTGCAGCCGCCCCGCTCGCGCTCTGGGCGGTTTTGCTCAGCGGACCACAGTTTGGTTATAAATAGCTGGTAAATGGAGGGAAGTCTGCACGTGTGGTGAAAGGTGCTTTAAGGTCGCTGCTTTTCTCCTTTCATGTGCGCCAGTCCGCTGCCCCCGCAGCAGACAGTTCAGGACATTACAGCGGCATCAACAGCAATATTAGAGTGACACAGTCGACCAGTGCAACGAGGAATCAAGAATGTAGCTTTTTTTTCCTAGAGAGTAAAACTGGTAATTGGACTTTATGTTGAGTGACACTCACACAGTGCAGAGGAGTAAAGAACAATAGACCATAAACTGTTTCATCTTTCACATCCGGTATCTGCGCTGTTGAATTTAATTTCAGTTCTTGTGTGGGCGGCTGATGGAGCAGTGCATTGTGGATATTTCTGCCCCCCCTTGTCTGTATCTGAGTGTGTTAACCCAGTCATTTGTCCCACAGGTGGCCCCCATGGAATCCATGGCGATGAAGCGCTCTCATCTCTACGGAATGGGCGGCAGCCCCTACTCTCAGCACCAGCAGGGTGGGGCTTACCACGGCCAGCCATATGGATCACCTGCTCCTCACCAGTATCCAATGGGAACACAGGGAAGAGGTCAGGTGGGCATGAGTGGAATGCAGTACCCTCCACAGCAGGTGTGTCATCTCTCTTTATACACTGTAGCTACTCTTCATGTTCTGGGCAGTTCCCATTGTTCTCATTTTAGATAAACCGATTGACCACGGGCCAGAGTCCTGCACATTTTTGGGTTTCCCCTCATTTAACACACCTGATTCAACTAAGCTACACAGGGCTTCTGTCCTCCAGGACTGGAGGTTTACACCTCTGATCAAAAATGGAATTTTCCAGTATGTTTTACACTTGGATTTCCTAGTATTACTTCTTGGTGGAGATGCACAATATATCAGTAAAAGTATCGGCCAGCACTCGCTGCAAATAATGATATTGTTTCCAGCTGATATTCAAACATTATTTAATTTTCAAAAGCAGCAGCACCAGAACTAGACACAACAGCTTAAATAATGGAGATGATTGCATTGGATAATCAGGCATTTTCCATAAGGAAGGGTGAGGAATTTTATTAGCTCATTCACTTGTAAGAGGTGATAAAGAGGTCTTGAAGTTTTGGCCCGTGAAATGTTTAGAACCCATTATTAAATCTGGCCCATAGATTGATATTTTGGGTTCCGGTTATTGGTATCAGTCAAAATTTCCAAGCTTGGAGATTGGGTTGGATGGGCTGGAGGCCTAATTGCTTCCAGGATTGTTCATGTTACTCTTTGTTCATGTGGCTCATCTGGGTCTAGTTGAGCAGAATAAACTCTGGTGCTAAATAAGCCAGCTGATCTGTAGGCCTGTGCTTCTACTGTGAAAATGCTCATTGTTCTTTTTTTCTTCTAAACCTATATATAATATATATACATTTTTCTGACATATTTCTGCTTTGGTTATCTTTGCTATTTTCAGATAAGGGTTCTGTTTTATTCTTCGTTTCATGAGTTTCCAGCTGCATCTGTCCTGCCCTTCGTTCCTTGGCTCCTCTTCCTTTAGAACGGTAACCAGCTGCAAACATAAACCTCCACCACATGATACCAGGGAATTTTACCCGACAGGAACCGTGTGCTGGGAGCAGAATCCGCTGTGGGCTTCGCCACTGAGATTCAAGCCAGAGCCGAGCGATAGACCCTGAGAACTGCCCCTGAAAATCACGCTCCAGTTTCCATGAGGAGAATGATGCTTTGAAATCTTTAGGGTGTAAATGCAATCCAGTATGAAAGGCAGATCCATGATGCGTTCACTCTGGCCCAAAAACCGTATGATCCGAGAAGAACTTTAAAATGAAATGAATGTGATTTCGCTCGACACTAGAACAGATGCTGCCCTGGCGATAGGAGAAGAGCTGGCATCTGAATACCAATGATGCGTTTGTGTTTGTAGCTCTGGCAGTGGCAGAGTGGGATGGTCTGCCTCATGCTGGCGTTTTGGGGCTGCCCGCTGCCTTTCTGCATCCTCACCTCTGTCACAGACCCTAAGGGCAGTTCCTGAGGGGCTTTCAGTATTGCAGGCAGCCCCGGGCTCTTATGGCCGTGCTTCTATGCGCAGCCTGCGAGTGACTGGATGCTGACGTTACTCGCGGGTCCTGCTTACGGGGTCGCGGCCGTTTCCCCGTTTTCCGGCGGGAGCCCAAACGCTGAAGTGCTCGTGCACATCATCTGAGTGATTATATCTCCTGTATGCCGGTCCAGAGCCCAGAAATATTCTTTAGGGGGTCGGGGGAATTAATAGTCACGTGGTCTTGAAAGGAGACCAGGCCACATAAGCTTTTAGGTAGCAATACTAATTCAAATGAATACACATTCCAGGGGCACCCTGGATAATGTACGCTCATTTCATATTTGTCATATCTGTCCCTCCCACATAGTTAGAGGAAAATTGAGAAAAACTATTACACTGTTGGTATGTTCTGTACAACAGTGCTGGAGCTGTAAAGGGATTAATAAAAAGCAAATGAACAAAACAGCCTCATTTATATTTATTTGAAATCGGGCATATTACTCAGACCTAGCTGCCACGATACATCATTCGTTAAATCGTTTGCAATCCTTCTGTTTTGCCCAAGGAGATAATTATAACTTCAGAAGTTATCTTCCAGATATATGAAAAAAAATACATCAGTGTAATTGAGACAGAACAAACTGGAAATAATTAGTACATAAGAATGATGGAATGCTCTATATAATTTATGCACTTTTGGTTTTCATTTGCCAGATGCATCTGAGAGATGTTGCTTTATATTCCTTAGAGAAAGTTTAAAAAGGGGAGAAAAGAATGAACTTTTTATGGATTGACTCAGAAAATGACTAACTCCTCTCGATTATGATGCAAACGGGATGTGATGTCATGGTCTTCTGCTTGTGCTGTTGGTCCACTGGCCAATCACAGAGGTGGGGTTTATGAGCTGTAGACCCATTACCTTGATGTTAGGCTCTATTATAGTAGATAAGAATATTCTTATTGTTATTTGTGTTTGATTTCATTGCCACAGCTACTTTCCAAAGCAATATACACATATACTCATTCATGAAGAAATGCACCCCCCCAGATTACCTGTCTCCAACAGACCCAGCCTGACATCCCGCAGGTCACATTACATCAATATTACATTTCATTTGATATCTTTTTTAAGCAAAGTGGGCATCATGGCAGTAAAAGAATTTGGGGGGAAAAAACAGCTAAATGCCTAAAAATGCATTTGCGTGCAGCTCAAAAGAATGTACTGGAATATTGAATCGTCAGTCTGTGTTTTTGAACCCTAACCCAAACATCTACAACAACAGATTGCAGTAGTGATTTACCCCTTTATGTGGGTGGGAGTGGCACAGGGGGTGCAGCTGGGTTTCCTCTTCTCTGGTATCCTGGGGAGCTTCTGCTCGGACATCACGGGCTCAGGACTAAGCGATGGTGATGTCGGAATGACCCACACTGTAATGAGGTCCTGCAGAACATTCCAGGAGGTATATTTAGCCTTTTGTTTAGGGTGGTTATTGAACTATAAAGCAGGGGTAGGCAACCCGGATCCCAAAATGCCAGGATCCGGCAGCTTTTCCATCCTACCTGGTCTCTGCTGGACCACACCTGAACTCAGGCAGAGGGTAACTCATCAGGCAGGATGGAAGACCTGCTGGGTACCGGCACTCCAGGATCAGGGCTGCCTACCTCTTGCTATAAAGAATAAATTCATTCATTCATCCTTCACCCTCTTATCTCATACAGTGTCAGGGGAAGCAGGGGCAGGTCTATAATTTGACCTTTAGGGGGGCACATCAACTTAATTGCGGGGCTTATTTGCTGGAATGTCCTTCTCCATTTTGTCCTTTCCAGGGCATCTCTTTAAGACTGCATTGACATGTTTCACACCCTTCTTCATCTGCTCGAACCAGCGTTTCTTTGCCCGCCCACATCACCTTCAGGCAGAGGCACATGGCTATCATAGCCCCTGTTTGATCATTGCTTTGGCCGATGTGGCCACACTATTGCAGACGTGTCTTGTGCGTCTTCTCTGTTATTGGTGCCGCTCTCATTATCTTGCGTACATTGTCGTTCTTGTGGTCAAAAATGTAAGACCGAGTGTCCACCGGAGCTTTTGCATCTCCACGATGTTTAGCATAACATTATTGGTTGCTGCCGGCCAGCACTTCATCCCATGCAGCAGCATTTCCCAACTCGGTCCTCAGAGATCCCCAGACAGTCCACGTTTTTGTCCTCTCCCAGCTCCCAACACACCCATGCCAGGTATTCAGAGTTCTTGATTGGTTGGAAGCTGGGAGGGAGTAAAAATGTGTATGGGGCCCCCGAGAACTGGGTTGGGAAACACCCTGTGCTACAGGATGAAATTATTTTATTTATACTCGCCTTGAGGTACATGGGCATCTTACAGTCACACATGACTTCAGTGAGCTGGTGCCATTTTAGCAAGGCAGCGTTTACTTGTGCTTGGGCATCAGGAGTTGTACCTGGGTTGGAGCAGACAAGCAATCCAAACTACCTGAACTCCGCAACCTTGGTAACTTGACTGCTGCTGTGGATGCTGCCCTCCGTTTGCATGCCTCATTCCAAGTATTCCATCTTCCTGGTGTTAAGGCGGAACCCGTTTTCTTCCATTCCTGAATGAGGAGCTTGAGGGCCTGGCGCCTCTTAGGTCAAGACAATGTCTTTGGCATGTAGGAGTGTCCTTGTTGGCATGTCTGCTATCGCCGTGTACATACACAGGATGAAGAGAGAGAGTTGATCCTTGATGTACTTGGATGAAGAAAGTCATAGTAATCAATTACTGCTGCATTTCCCCTGAGTCCTAGTGTCCTAGACTGGGTCTTAGGAGATGCAATGTTACGTTTAGATGGAAATTCATGAAAATGAATGAGAGAACACTATTTATACTAATTAGTTAATTATAAGTGAGGCTAAGGAATAATGTAGGGGGGCTGAAACCCCCCAAAACAGTCCTGATCACGCCCTTAGTGGGGAGCCTATCCCGTGAAGCACTGGGCATGAGGCAGGGAATAAAGAATGAACACACCAACAATATGTGCCTCTCAGATGTTTAATGTACCATTTTATCATCATTATTTTCCTGGCTTTGTTAGTGTTTTTGAGTGTCTTTAACATGGCGATGCGTGTGAGGCAAGCAGCAAGTTGCACAGGTTTGTTAGGAGATTTGGGGCTCCTAGTAGGGGGGCAGGAGGCAACCATTAATGATGACCACCCCCCTGCCCCGCCTTCCTTGTTGCCACGGGATGTCCATGCATCACAAACGAGCATTTAAAACTGAAGACGTGACATAGAAAAACAGCTTTGATATTGTGGGTGATTAAGGATTTGTCATACTGAAGAATAGATGATGTTCCGTGATCAATTAATTAGTAGGGGATGCATTGAGAGGATCTAATGGTGGTCTCATTTGTGATTTTAATTACTCCTGTGCATTTCGGGGGAGCTGAACAGGGAGATTGCTGACAGTATGTGATGACAAACCTTTACTCGCAAGAAAGGCTTATCTTTGTGTTTTTCAATCTTCTGCTTGCAAGTAAGTGAGGGGCAGCTGCGTGCTCCTCTCTGCGTGCTCCTGTCTGCGTGCTCCTGTCTTGTAGCTCCTAATCAGGGCATCACATCTTCTTTAAGAAATGCTTGCCTTTTCTTGCTTACAGAACAGAGGGCATTTAGGGTTGGTGTTGGGGCCTGATGTTCTCCAGAATATAATGACCCAGTTCATGGTTCCTTCTTGATCATAGTTTCACCACCATTACTGCCTCTGAAGGATATAAATTCTGGCAAAAAACTTAACTAATACCACCCTCTGTCAAAATAACCGCTGTAGACTCAATTGTCCAAAGCTTTCTTCCAAAAATCAGCGTCTTCCAGGTGGTACTGGTAACGCTCCCAAAGCAGCACCTGTGTTCACCTTTGAGAAAGCAGGATTTCCTACAGGACAATCTCTCATGACTTAAGTTGCTGTTCAGCCTCTAAAATTGAGGCATGAATAGGTTGACAGAATTGTAAACTACCATTTCAATGAAAATGACCTGGATTTCACTTAAGCCCTGAGTTCTTGTTGTGTGCTGATTGGTCAGCTGCCTGTAATCATGGATGTGTCACTAATGATAATGTGAAACAGCTGTATGAGTCGTTCAATCAAACAAACAAACCAGTAAAAGCACAAGAAGAACTGAAATATTTAGCCAAACACAGGAGCCTTTCAGTTTTAAAGAATTTTGCAAAACCTGAAGTAACTCTGTGTCTTCCCTGACATGGATTATGGCACGAATGTAAATAACATCTTATATACTGACCCTGGGGTTTGAACCCTGCTTTATAACACTTAAGACTGAGCATATTTCATACTCATACTTTCTAAGGACTCTGTGTAACTGTGTGGAGGATTACTTGAGCTTCCCTTAAATTTGTGGATATAAAGTATTTCATCATAAAAGTCTTTCAGTGCATTGATAGCAAAAATGTGAAATTTCCTCAGATATGTTGAGGGTTCCCAAGCTTTCAAACAGCAAAGGTCAATGCTGACATTGATCATTATTTTATGCTCTAGACTCAAATGCACACTGTAGCCCTGTAAAAGGCCTGCTGATATTTAACTTGATGGTGCCGGGCAGTTGTTGAAGGCTGTTACCTTGAAGCGTTTCGTTTGCGAGGGCTTGCTAAGGGGATGCTATTAATCGGACAGTACAGTTCTTTATCATGTGGATTTACGAGGAGGACAAGGCTGGTTATTCATCCTGTATGAAAGGCCATTTAGTCCTCCTTACGTTTAATCCTAATGGTCGTAAGCATTGATCCTCTTAGGGACAGGGATTTCAATTATTCATGGTGTGTGCATGTAGCGCTCCCTCTGCTTTTATTTAAATGTGCACTTCTCATTAATTTTAAAACCGCAGCCGGTGAAATTTCACACTTTTGGGCCTCGTTTGTGTCTGCGTTAGTGGCAGGTGAAATGGAGATTTTTATATGGGCACGGTGCCCCCAGTGCAGAGAGGGGGGAGATGCTGGTATTGGTTGTGAGTGGTCCTTTTGGCTATTTTATGTCCAAGTGGATTGTGATTCTGCTGCTGATGGTCTTTCCAAGAGCTGTTTTTTCCCCTCAGGCTTCCTCCTTTGGTGGTATTTTGACTGTCAGCAGAGATGCCATATTCCAGAATCTTCTCTTAATTGGTCACTTGTTGGCTCCTGTCATATCATGTCCATTCTGCTGACGCGGAGCTGTTTGCCGGAAGCTTATTGGACACTGACCTGCATTACTTCACTCTAAGTTATCTCACCACAGTTTCTCATTATTAAGAGATGAGTTGGAGTGTGTGAATCTGTGTGGCTAACTGTGTCAAGCTGAATGAGCTAAACGCATACTGAAAAAACAATTTAAAACTTATTGCTTAGTAAGATACTGACTTGAGTCTTCGTTGAGGCACTTTCCTGTCATGGTGTTCTTGAGGTTTATAATGTGGTGTGCTGGTGCCATGATCCGTTGCTTAGATTTTGGCTTACATCTTTGACATCACTGGTACCCTGCACTGCAGAGGGCGCCATGTTGCTTTCCAGTATGTCACCTTGAGTTTGTATGTTAACTGCTAGGTCCAGATGCTACCATTGCAAAGCTGTACTCTTTCCTTGCCTCACAGTAGGGGTCCAGCTAAGCTTATTTCATAACGATGCACCACACTCCCGCCTGCGTAGTTTCTGCAGCCATGTGACAGGTCGTATGAAGAATCAGGAGGGCCAAGCTTGAAAGATGCCACCATTTGCTGGGCTGATGGGGGCTATGGATCATTTGGCCAAACTGGGAATGGTTCTCTCTTTTCTTGGCCAGTGTCCTCTCTGAAGAGGAGCAAACTTTAGTGTGTGGTGGACTTTAGACCACCGTGGTCCACCACATTTTTGGGAGGCTTTACATTTCTTTGAATTCCATCCATCCATCTTCAGAGTCCTTCTTCTGCTTTCTGTATTAGTGTTTCTGCAGGTGAGACCTAACCATCTTTTAAAGCTTGTACACTTTATATGTGAAGGCTAGCTCTGTGACTGAGGTTTAAGGACAGTGATAATGTATGAATATCCAGGACTGGAGTATTCATAGACCTGATGCCAGCCAGTTGTAAATCTGAGACAGATCAGTCCCACTCAGTGGACCGACGGCTATCAGCAAGACTTGGGATAATAACCAATAAGTTACTCATTCAGTTAAAATAACACTGCAGTCACCATTCTACAAAATATTTTGCCTATTAAGAGGATTTTGTTGATCATTATGCTAATTTGAGATGATAATTATTGAATAAATTTTTGTGAAGATGCATTTTCTTGAGGGTTTTATCCAATTTTAACTGGATATTACCTGCTCCATCATTTTTTGTGATCAGCTCATTATTGGTTATATCTACTCCATGTAGGAGGAATAGTGACACACAGACACATACTGTATGTAGGTGAGAGCAGTGATGGGAAGGCACCGGCAGTGGGGGGGTTAGGGGCCTGCAGACAAAGCCCAGCTCAAACTGGTGAATTTCCTATTGCAGGCACAGAGGCTTGGGCCCCAAATAATTTTAGAACTGTGATATTGTGTTTTGTGCTTAGTGTCTATCAATAAACTTGTGTTACAGATTATGTAATCAATATAATCACTTCCGGGTCTTAATTAAACCGCATCCTATTTGGTTGTGCTCGTGTCATGTGGGCTTGTATATGACCACGGCCACATGAGGCAGTAGAGACTGACCGCATTTCACTGCTTCGGCATTCCGAACATACTTGAGGGGCCGCAGATTGTAGAAGCCAGTCATGTTGAGCCAGAAGTGGGACAAAGTGACATGAGAGTGCTTCTGGGCGGTATGACCGCAGTGCATGCTAACAATGAGTTGTTATTATGGAAGGTTTTCAGTTTCTAAAAATGACCATCGTCCCCTGGCCCAGCATGGGGGCGCTGCTGTGCCTGACGGAATGCTGAGCCAGTCTGACATTTAGGGGCACTTTTCATTCCTTGTGGGGCACAATGCTGTCAGCTTTCATCCACAGCCAAAGAAATATCAACCTCTGTTCAGTCTCCCTGTACTCCACCTGTTAGGTATTACGGGACAAAGGATTTTCTGTATTTAAATTGTCAAAGTCAGGGTAGTGATAAAGGAATCTTCCCATTTACATTTCGTACATGAAGCTGTGGTACATTCCAGCTCGAGTTTCCTTCCGCTTCTCTGTACATCCCTCAGCTCGTTACTGGGCCGTCACGTGCCGTCGCTGGAAGTGAGAGAATTTAGAAAATAATGTCTGGAATATAAAGTAGGAGCTGCATTGGCGTCATCGGCTGAGTTGCCGGTGCTCTTACTAAAAGCTGAAAAATCGAGTTAGCTGCTCGCGGGCCGATTTGCATAGCTTACAGTCCGCATTCATGCACCCGGGTCTTTATCGAATCAAATTAGGTTAAGTACCTCGCTCTAGGGTACAACAGCAGGTTCAGTGACGAGAGCCGCTTTTATTTACTGCTCCTCTGCTGCGGCAAATCGGGTTAGGTACTTTGCCAGAAGGTATAACAGCAGATTTACATCGTTTGTCTTCGGTCACGAATGCTGTTTTATTTACCGTGAATCGTGTTGTCGCGGTAGAGGAGTCTTAAAATGTGATGTCGATCATAAGTGCAGCTCCACCCACAGGCAGCCGGGTGACCAGTTTCATCTCCAGACCCCATTGCCCACTGATGTATTTCTCAGTTCAGGTTCAGTGCCCATGTGGCCGGCTAGAGGCGTTGCTCCCCCGCATGTCCCCTTGATTTCTGGGTGTCTGACTGGGGGCCGTCCGTCCTCGGAACGAACAAAATCGGTGGAGCTGTAGTCCTGCTTCTTCAGCAAAGTGATGTTTGTGTATCCATGTGTTTGAAGTGTCATCAGGAACATATTGGGGGTCTCTCTCTCTCTCTCTCTCTCTCTCTCTCTCTCTCCTTATTCCTTGGCTCAGTGATCCATACGTTTAACAAATAGTTTCTGAATCGCAAAATTGCTGGTCTGGGAATGTTCTGTAAAACTCAGGTTGTTAATCATTTGAATTTTTTCCCCCATGCATGTATTCAGCTGCCTTTTAATAGCATCATTAATAAAATCAGTGCTCCTGCTTTTCTGTGTAGGCGCCTATGGTGGGTGGTCACTTTGAATAACACCGTTTAATGGTCATCCTGTGGCCTCCGCTCCAGCAGATGGCGACTCCTTACGGCCATCAGGCCATGGGTGGATTCTGCCAGCAGGCTCAGCCGCCGTACTTCAGCCAGCCCATGCAGCCTGCCGCCCAGCCGCCCTATGCGCAGCCCCGTGCACCCCCGCCGCAGGTGAGCCACCCACAATACTCGGCTTCTTCACTATTTGGTCACTTCGGTCACTCCTGTTGACCTGCTTTCAGAGCCTTACCATTTTAGTCACGCGGAACAATCAAGCACCTCTATCCTCATTTTTTGTATGTTTTTCTACGTCTTTGTTAGAAATACAAAAAACTAGACTTGCCAAAGGCAGCTACCATTTTGAGATGGTGGTAAGTGAATTGCACTCACCCCCATTAAAATCATATGTAACTTAATATCTGCACAACAGCTGTGTGGACAGCCTTGACTTGGCTGTTATGTACTTTTTGTGAGAGAAGTGTGTTGCGGTAAGGGATGGATGCTTATTCATCTTCTTTCTTGACCTTGGTTTTTACCATCCTGACACTTAACTTGGCCTTCATGGTCTATGCCCATAGAACTTATTTTCATTGAGGATTTGACCAAAAAAGTAGAAATGTCTAAAAATATAGTATGTCACATCTGGTCATGCTTAAGAACGGAGGAGTGTAAGAGATTGGTTAGTGGAGGAGCTGAGTGCGGCTGGAGCCTGTGCTCTGATTGGGCAGTGTGGGGTGGTGGTCGGGTCTTTGAGCAGGTCTTCTGTTTCTATTGGCTCTGGGTCCATTTGAGGTGTGACTTGGTGGGGGGGGAGCTGCTGTTTATCCAGCTGACAGTCCTGGGGCGCTGTATCTGTGTATGTAAGGAGGGACTGGTCACCAGGTGGCAGGCCACCTATATTTCATTTGTTTTGCTGGTTCCCTCCAAAAACATGCAGTTAGCTAAATTCTAGCCATCTTCTGACCACTTATCCTGGTCAGGGCCACTGGTGGGCCTGGAGTCTGTGCTGGGAAGGACAAGCGCACAAGGCTGGGGCAGCCTACACTCTGGATGGTATGCTAGTCCATCACAGGGCATGTAGACACACAGTCATGTGTCATACTGCTTGGGATAGGGTCCAGTCCCCCCTGCACTGAATAAGGAGCTGGAAGATACACAGATGGATTTGCTATCGTGTGTGGCAAGCCATTTAAACCATCCTTATCTGAAGGTGTGGTACCTTCTGATTGGAACCATGCCAACATAACGCCCATTTTCAAAAAAGGGGATAGAAGTAATTTGTCAAACTATAAGTCAATCAGACTAACTTGTATAACTGATAAAGTTATGGAGGCTGTAATCAAAGAGAAAATGGTAGATTACCTGGACT